GCTGTGGCTAAGCTAATCGCTAATAGTGAGGAAAATAGGTTCCGAAAATGCTGCGCCGCCGCGCTGTGTCCTACTGTACTTGTTGGAATACAAACGGCGACGGCTCGTTGGTATTTTGAATCATTTGTTTTTATTTTGGTCCTTGAAAACGTCTTCACATGAAAATGGCCGGGAGCACTCAAATGTTCGGGTCTTGCTTTTGTTTAAAAATATGTATGTGTGGGTGTGTACGCAATGCGCATTGTTAAAAGGTCACTACTAAATAATGAATAATAATTTTGTGAGTTAATTATTCATTGGATAAATATAAAACAAGAGTGGGAGTGATAAAAAAATGCAAGCAACTTTATTAGTAGGTACTGATATGCAACAGAGCCTTTGAGATTGCTCATCGTCTCAGTCTGAAGTGACCAGACTTCAGAAAGTTGCAAAACATGCGACTGTGCATTGTTGCTGGCGGTGCAGGGTTCGATTCCGGCTCCAGCACCCCCCCGCGACCCTCGTGAGGATCAAGCGGTTCGGAAAATGAATGAATGTTTTGTCTTCCAAGCGTGGTCATGGAACGAATGAAACTCGTAGCTCAGAGCACCTCTGGACAGCGCGAGAACAACGATCTGAGCTCAACTCCCTCACGGGATGACTCGTGAAAACTGTTGAGCGCTTGGATCAAGGAAAACGTGACTTCGACGTACCTTCTGCCGCCTCGCGGAAGAGCATCGCGTTCTTTGTCGGCAAATAGGGACTCGTTTGGGACCAATTCGGTGGAGTTGGAGCAAAGACTAGCCCGCGGCACGCCACCGTTCACGTTCGTCAGTGGCACACGGCACCGAAAGTCTTTTTATGCGCAGCGTACTTTGTCAATTCAGTTGCCAGTGTAAACAAATTAGGAAACCAACAGAAAATGTTTTTTGCCACTCTTGTTTTTCTTCATTAGTTTTGTATTGCATATAAAGAGGCACTTTATTTTTATTTTCCAAATAAAGATGAAACGGATACTTTCTTCAACTGCGCCGCACTCGATTTTCCTCTTGCAAAATGAAATAGGGCGCGGTGGCGGATGAGCAACAAAGCGGGATGTCGCGAGGAGGCGCGTGCGCGGGCTTCCTCGTGACGTCACGTAGAAAGCCCGAAAAGGTCGGAGCCGCGGCCGGTAACATCCGGGGCCTTTTAAATCCCGAGCGGCCCCGCCTACGGGCCCTTCCTCGGGCCAATCGGGCGCTCGGAGCTCACCCACAAGAGACGCGCCCGCGTGTCCCCGCGCGCTCGCGTTTGTTTGTGTTTGGAGGATGGGAGAAGACGCCGGCCGAGCGTCCGCTCGACGTTTCTGAAGTTGGCGCGCGCGTGAAACATGGAGCCGAGCGACCTCCGAAAACTCTTCCGCGCCTGTGACGTCAACCGGTCGGGCAAAATCGAGCCGGACGACTTTACGGCGGTGTGCCGGGAGCTCGAAGTGGCCGAGTCCGAGATCCAGACGTTGTTCGCCAAGTTCGGCGTGGACGACGACGGCTGCGTCGACTACGGCAGCTTCTCG